GGTGCGTGCCCGTCCTCCCAGCTGCTCTGGAGGCTGAAGCAGAGGATCACTTGAGCCTAGGAGTTTGAGGCTGCAGTGAGCTGTGTTCACACCACTGCACTCCAGCCTGGGCAACAGTACAAGACCCTGTCTCTAAAAAAAATTTTAAAAGTCAGTCAATCTCTATTTATTATATTCCTTTTCCACACTACAGACCAAATGCTAAAATCAATTTGAAGAAAAGCTATCCAAACCAATGTATTGTTCTAACATCATTTTCCACCACACTTTTCACTTCCAGGTATTTTCTAAAATTAATGCAGTTGTATTTTAGCTACATACATTTTTATATGACTAATATTAATAGTACAAAATAGCAGTGATAATGTGCCATATTAAAGAGGAACTATAAGTGAGAAATTTAGCTCCACTGTTGAATATCTGGCTCTCTGTTTATTTCAATCTTTGGGTGCCCATGTTGCTGGGTGGATTAAGTAATACATGGGGGAGTTTTGATTTAATAGCACAGAGTACTAATTCTGCTTCTAACTCTAGGTGCCCTTTGGGAAAAACAAAATCCTGTGCTTTAGTATCCTGTTTTGAAAAGCCAATCAAAACTATTAGGGTACTTTGCAAATATAAAATGGCACCCAAAAGCTTTTAAATTATAGAGAATGTAGTTCTGTATAAGCCAATTTTCAGTTTCTTAAAAAGAGTTTTATATACAGCTGATATAGCTGTATGTACCTGCAGAAAGGCAGACACATGTACATAATACATGTAAAAATCTATCTCCATTTGGAACGAAATTCAACATTACTGTATCATGAATGACTAGTGTAGACTTAAGAGTACAAAAAGAAAAGATTATGGAGGTCACAGTGAAGCACAAAGTTGAAAGTGAATCAGCAAACAATGGAATTAAATGAAGAATAAATTAACTTAGGATAAAAGTGGAAGATATTGGCCAATTGTTAGTAATACATATTTTAGTAATTTCCAATATTAATAAGGGGTAAATTGTTCATCAAAAGCAATTATCTGCTTTTAAATCAATAATGTCTACCTGAAGCTTATTGATTAATATTAATTTTGTAACGTGACTTTAAAATAAAGTTTTTTTGTTACTTCATGTGAGTCAAAATATAAATCAAACATAAGGCCCTACCTGATTAGCTTGGTAGTGGATGGGCATGGTATTAATATTTACGGGTTTGGCCTGCAAGACCTGGGCTCGAATCCCAGTTTTGCTTCATATGACGTATCCACCATTGAGAAAATACGTCACTTTTCCAAACCTTAGTTTCCTTATCCATAACTGGAGATAATGTTTATATCATAGGGCCATTGTGATATTTATAGGAAATTGTCTGTTTCCATGCTTTCAAGAGTATCAAACAAATAGCAAGCACATAGTAAGTGATGGCTGCAATTACTGTTATAAAATGAGGGGTCCAGCTGGCCCAGATCTATTCTATGAAGTATGATGGGAAAATTTGATCTTAATTAATTCACTCAATGAGCACTTATTGTTAGGATAAGGCAAAGAACTGACAAATTATTGGAAAACAATATCAAAGGAATATGCTTTGTTTAGTTAGGAAAAGAAAGCTTGATATGTTTCCTAATATTTTAAATAATAGCAAAAATGATATGAAGAATTATTAAAATAACAGTTTTTCTTATTTGCAGAGTGTTTGAAAAGATTGATATACACCTCGGTCACATTAGAAATTACATGGAGCAAAATTGAAACCAAATGTAATACACCGAAATAAAATTATTTGATAGTTTTGAGAATCTCTTTCTCTTCAGGGTTTGTAGTTTATCTTTCTTGGGTGGATTGTAGACCTTGAGGGGTAGAATCATTATCTTTGAGGTCAATAATTCCACCAATATTTTCTTTTGGTCCAATGGTAAAAATTTAATATATATATTAAATGGAGAATTTGAATAAGGATGGAAATGCTATTGAAAATAATAATTTGATTAAAAATAATACAATTGGCTGCGGCACTTTGTACTTGAAGTAATGTGTGTAATTCTTGGACTCCCACACAGTTTCAAACTCTAATTTTTATGGGAACATAAAAAGGAAACAAAGGCCATTTGGCAGTAGTGTGAGCACGTGCCATCATGCTCACAGTGCGTGGTTTCAACCTAGGATTTGAAAACGTAGTCACTGAGACAAAGATCAAAAGTTTCTGTAAGTGGATTTGGACATTATATTTGGCTAATCATTTAAAATAGAAATATGTGGTAATAAAACACAGAGTCTAGAATGTAATTTGGAACCACATTCCAAATACAAAGAAAGCAATTTGAGGTTCACAACAGAGCATATTTTATAAAAGAACCAAGGAAAGTAACTGCGGAGACATGTATTTTTTTCTTTAAGTAAATTCCTTATCTAGAATTTCAGTGGCTCCACAGGCCAAGACCACATCCAAAATGGTTTGTATGCTTTGTGGATGCATTTTTATTCAGAACAGCTATGTGGGGAAGGGAAGATACTGAATCCCAAGGGCATCGTAAACACACTAAAGATATATTAGATATGGCAACACAGTTGAACTCAGGAGTGTTTTGGCGAACTGAAAGTGGCAGACAAATTATAGGCCCAGCAACATCTGTAAAAATCTATGAAACACGTCTGTGCATAGAATGTAATCATGCAATCAGTTGGGGAAAGCTTTAATAAACATGTTGGGTAGGCAACATTTATGAAATACCCTTTACCAGGCATTGAGGGGAATGAAGACAAAAGGGTTGGCATGAGGTAGAATAAGAGGTCTGTCTAATCTGTGAGTGAGGGTGAAATCACCATGCAGAGACATCTCAGGGTGCTGTCATTTTGAATGAGGTTAAAGCTGTCAAACTATGAATAGTTATGAAGAAAGACTATGAGGCAGTTTGTACTCATCCAGAGGGGAGGCACTTCTTTTTTAATCATGAAAATATTTTAAAATACCAAAACTGCAGAAGCGAATCTAGAGGAGTTCTAAAATGATTGTATCCCTTCCCATGTTTTGATTTCCTTTTATAGGTAGTCCAAGGAAATTATTGGTAATCATTTGAAGTCTTTCCACATTTAACTGCTCAATGACCAACCATCTTTAATATTTATACAAAATAAATATTTTAAAGATTTACTCACTGTTTCATCAATGTAAAGTTATTAAAGTCTAGCTAGATGCTGTGGCTTACTGAAGGCTCTAATTCTGAGCCATACTCTCTCTTTGCCAACAAAGATTTTAAAAATGCCCATATCCTTTTACTTAGAAATTGTACTTCTAGAAATTTATGCTGAAGATTTAAGACAGTGCCAAATGACCTATGTACTAGGTTACTTTGACACAGCAGAAGACTAGAGTAACATAAATACTCTTCAATAGTGATTAGCAAAAAGTTATGGTGCATCCATACAATAGAAGATAATAGAGCTGCTAAAACTCTGTGGTTTTTATGTGAATTAAATTATGATGTGGAAAAGGTTTTATTTGTAGTACACATGCATACACACAAGCGTCAATATATTCGTTTGGAATATCTTTGGAAGTGTTTGTAAGAAACCTAGTGACAGTGGCTGTCTCCTGGGGAGATAGGAGGGTGGGTGGATGGCTGGAAGTAGAGCATCCTTACTTTTCACTGTATATACTTGTATTCTCTTTGAGTCAAGGAATGGGAGCTAAGAGCAGGCACAGGCTAGCATGCCTGGGTTCAAATTCTTGCCCTGCTACTTACTAGTTTTATGACCTTGAGCCAGTTAGTGAATTTCTCTAGGTCTCAGTGTTATAATTTTTAGAATGGAACTATTAATTATACTTACCTTATAGAACTATAAAGAAGATGAAACAAAATATGCAAAAAGGTTTAGGATAGTCCCTGGAACATAGTAAGACTATACAAACATCTGTCATTATGTTTTATTATTGTTACATGTGTTTATTTGATCAATTCAAGACTAAATAGTTTTAAAAGATTTTTTTTTCTAATAAGAATCGACAATTGTGGCTCTCTGTATATGATAATCAGAATGAATGAAATAGGAAAAAATGAGAATATAGCTGTCTCACTCTGTCATTCAATGTTGTTTAATATCAGGTCTGCATAGCACATAACACTTAAGCATTTTTGCTTTTTTTTCAAATTATCACTTTCAGAAACTCTGTATAAGGGCTTAATAAGAGGCGAGGAAAGAGAGTGAGAGACTGCCTGGCAATCTGGGAATTCCCCCATATCTTACTCAAGTCCACCAAGGTGGTACCACCAGAGATCTGTAAGCGTCACAGTATTACTGGGCTTGGGGCACCCCCAGTGCTGATACAGCTGTAGTGACCAAAGACTTAGATCACAACACTCAATTCCCTTTGACTATCTGGAAAGCCTTCTCAAGAAGGTCGGGTTCCAATCAGCCCAGACAGGGAAGATTAAAATAAATACCTAATTCCTCAATGCCCAGACATCAATGAACTCCATAAGCATTAAGAACATCCAGGAAGACATGACCTCACCAAATGAACTAAATAAAGTACAAGTGACCAATCCCGGAGTGATAGAGATAGGTGACCTTTCTGTTAAAGAATTCAAAATAGCTGTCCTAAAGAAGCTCAGTGAACTTAAAGAGAGGGAAGAATTGCTGGGGTAATATTACTATGGGGGATTGAATATAGTCAGTCTATAGGCTGTCAATAAGAGTTGGACAATTCATCTGGGGAAGGCAGAATGTGTGGACACGGATGTTGATAAGTGTGTGGATGTGGTGGAAGCAGTTCATGGAAGTTCTCTTTTGGTTCTTTCCATTTTTTCATTTAGCTAAAAATGAGTATGGGGAAGAGGTGGTATAATTTGAGAAGGCAAAAGAAGGCATGAAGTAGTTGGCTAGGAAACCAGAAGTGGGAACAAACTATGGACATGAGGCATTATTAATGGACATCATGAAGTGCCTTCTAGAGTTAGTGGGAGGAATTTAAATTCATTTAAGTTAGTCTGGTTGAGTGATTTTCTCCATCAACTTTCAGGTGTACAGGACAGGTGCAGCATCAGTACATTTAATCGTGGTTGGAGTTTCTCCAGACAATAAAATAAAACAAAAGGACAAAGGAGCAATTATAGAGATTGACAATGCAATGTTGGGTAAGTAAGGGGAGAAGTGACAACATGAAGGGATTGAGAGACTGTGAAGAGGATCAATGGATTTTTGATCAACTAATCAAATAATTGACTATGTCTTTGATTTTTGTTCTGTTTGGAATATGTGTTGAAATATGAGGGTGAATATAGTTCTCAGGCCACTGCTTAGAGAGACTATTCATCTCACAGTAAAGGACACCTGTCTACTTTTCTATTTAATGAGGACTTGGATCTATGAGCATGAACTTTTGACCTTCTTTTCCAAAAGGAGGGATGCACTGCCCCTTTTCTTTTTTTCTTTTTTTTTTCTTTATTTTTTCAATTTTGGTTATGAGGAAGAGTATAGGGAGGCCCTAACGTCAGCACTATTTATGTTATGGTTATGGATATTTGATGAAGATTTTATAAATAAGTTATATTCATCTAGTCTGATACTTCTTTTTGTTCTGTCTTTTCTGTCTTGTGGTTATTTTAAAAGAAAATTGGGAATGACTACATAAGATATTGCCAACCAGATGTTATTTTATCTAGACTCCTTGAACTTGTTTATTTGGAATTAAAATTAATCATGTATTTTCCTCAGATACTCAATTTTATAAAAAGAGGAGATTATTCAAGAAGTTTTGGACTTTGTGGTAAGCTTTTCAATGACTACTTTGTTTTATGAAACTTCTGTTTGCATTTCATCTACACTAAGCACAACTCAAATTTCATAAGGGTTTTAGTCTAATTCTAATGTTAGAATTCAAAAAGATTTGGCAAGATTTTATGAGTTTTTGTGGGTTTCTAGAGCACCATTTCTCTATGTAGATCTCTATGTAAAGCCTAATATATTACTGTGCCCTCATAGATGATATATGGCAAGTGAATATCTTTGATAGAAAAAAATCCTTAGCAACTCTATTCCTATTAAAGTTTTACAAATGAAATTGGGGATAAATTAGTAGAGATGGCTTGTAAAAACCCTGAAAAAGTTGCTCAAAGTTTCTTTGTCCAATGTTGATTCACTTTTATACTCTCTTTAAGCATGCCAGCTCACTTATCTTATTTTTTTTTTTTTTTTCTTTTTTAAACACCTTGAAGTTCACGTACCTCCATACTTATCTTAGATTTAGCGGAAGACTAATTAGATATCCTTATTCTTCTTACTAAATAAAAAATATACAAGTTGTTCATTAAAATTTCTAACTTCATTATTAAGGAGCTACTTAACCTTAGTTGAGTCACTTAACCTGGCCTGACTTCTATTTCTACATTGATAAAGTAGTAGAGTTGGACTAGTTGGTATCTGAAGTCCTACCTAGCAGCAGAGTGAGACTCTGACTCAAAAAAAATAAAATAAAAAAATAAAAGCCATAGCACAGTGTCTGACACACAGTGAGTGCTAGTCTCACTCTGTTGCCCAGGCTAGAGTGCCATGGCGTCAGCCTAGCTCACAGCAACCTCAAACTCCTAGGCTCGAGCGATCCTTCTGCCTCAGCCTCTCGAGTAGCTGGGACTACAGGCATGTGCCACCATACCCAGCTAATTTTGTCTCTATGTATTTTTCATTGGTCAATTAATTTCTTCTATTTATAGTAGAGATGGGGGTCTTGCTCTTGCTTAGGCTGGTTTTGAACTCCCGACCTTGAGCGATCCTCCGGCCTTGGCCTCCCAGAGTGCTAGGATTATAGGCATGAGCCACCACGCCCAGCCTATGGCACTGTTTATGATAGTGAAAAGTCTGAATCAGTCTGAATATCTGTAAATAGAGCATTAGTTAAATATATTTGGGAATGGGTGTGTAAAGGAAATAGCATGCAGTCATAAAAATGATTATATAAAACTATATTTATTGATGCTGTATGTAGTTATTACTCAGGCTTCTAGTAAATTTGTTTGTAATTCCACAGTTTGGAAGCTTTTAATCCCATTGTTAACCAGGATAAGAACTTGGGTTCTGAATTGACAAGTATGAGGAATTCTTAGCTGTGAGGAATGCATTTTATGCCATTGGGAGGAAGATTATAATTAAATGCTTATCAATTGTGTTGCCAATCAATAAAAAGTTTAATTAATCATAATGTTATTACTTGAACTTGTCTGACACGATTTTCTTGGTTGAGTCATCATTTCATTGACTAAGCCACATTGAAACATTGTTCAGTAGATTGGCCCTCCTGCCTGAGGATTAGTAATTTATATAGGATGAATAGTAAAATTGTGGACAATTACATTCTGAGGTTGTCTTCTGATGAACAGGTGGGCTGGTAGACTGCTTTAAAGGCTGATAGCTTTTCAGCAGTGTTTGCATGTATGCCAGGATAAAGAAAACTGTGCATTAGGATGCTTGAATTTTGGCATATTGCAGATAAATGTTTGCATTATCTTATTGTAACTTAACTTGGGCTTTCAGACTCAAGCTATTCATAGTGTAGGGATTAATGCGTATACTGCTGCCTGGCATCTCTCTGAGAAATATTTGAGTCTTCACCTTTTAAGAAGCAGTGATTAGGCCGGGCGTGATGGCTCACGCCTGTAATCCTAGCACTCTGGGAGGCTGAAGTGGGCGGATTGCTCAAGGTCAGGAGTTCGAAACCAGCCTGAGCAAGAGCGAGACCCTGTCTCTACTATAAATAGAAAGAAATTAATTGGCCAACTAATATATATAGAAAAAATTAGCCGGGCATGGTGGCGCATGCCTGTAGTCCCAGCTACTCGGGAGGCTGAGGCAGAAGGATTGCTTGAGCCCAGGAGTTTGAGGTTGCTGTGAGCTAGACTGACGCCACGGCACTCACTCTAGCCTGGGCAACAAAACAACACTCTGTCTCAAAAAAAAAAAAAAAGAAGCAGCGATTAGTGTTCTTGTGTGTGTAACTACTAGATCCTATTAAATTTATATATTACCAATGGGAAAAAAAAAGGAAGAGGTAAGTTTTGAAGCAATTAAATAAAAATTTGCAAGTGAGATGGTATAGAAATCTTCCTTCAACTTCCCCACCCATTTCTGTAGACAATCTTCTCTGTCTTCCAATATATAAATTTTTCTGTAAATACATTAAAATATATTGAATATAAATATATTCAATTACTTGGAAATATTATGTGGAAAACCTGGCTTTGAGGTCTTAGGATTCTATACCTCCAATTTTTTTTCTTTTTTTTTAATTTCAGAATATTACTAGAGTGTTAAAGCAAACATTTTGGTTATGTAAATTGCTTTTGTACCACTTGGATCAAAGTTGTTAGTGTGCCCATCCCCCAGATAGTGTGAGTTGTACCTATTAGGTGTGAATTTACCCTTTCCCCCCTCTCCTTCCCACCTGCTTGATTTCCGATGAATGTTATTTCCATATGTGCCCCTAAATGTTGATAGATTAGTTTCAATTTAATATGATGAGTACCTGTGGTGTTTGTTTTTCCATTCTTGTTATACTTCACTTAGAGGAATGGTCTCCAGCTCCATCCAGGTTAATACAAGAGGTATTATTTCACCTTTTTTGTGGCTGAGTAGTACTCCATGGTATACATATCCACATTTTATTAATCCACTCATGTATTGATGGTCACTTGGATTGTTTCCACATCTTCGCAATTGTGAATTGTGCTGCTATAAACATTCGAGTGCAGGTGTCTTTTTAAAGAAAATGTCTTTTTTTTCCTTTGGGTAAATACCCAGTAATGGGATTGCTGGATCAAATGGTAGTTCTACTCTTAGTTCTTTGAGGTATCTACATGCTGGTATGCCCCAATTTTAATGCCCAAGCTCTATGATAGCTCACAAGGGAAATAAATCTGGCGCCCATCCTGAATATAAACCATTTGAAAAAAGTTTCAGAATAATTTATTAAGAAACAGTTTTCAGACATGTTCAACAAATGGTAAAGAGATTTCAGCTCTCCAAGATAAAAGAGTGAGACTTTGAATATAGAAAGTCAGACATGGAAGGAAAAATAAAAATCTAGGAACAAAAGAAAAATCAGACTATGGAAACTGAGAAACAGCTAAGTATGCCATATATATTTGCAGTTGGATTTTTTTTTATTTCAGCATATTATGGGGGTACAAATGTTTAGGTTATGTGTATTGCCTTCCTCCCCTTGCCCCCAGGAGTCAGAGCTTCAAGTGTGTCCATCCCCCAGATGGTACACATCGCACTCATTATGTATGTATATACCTATCCCCTCCTCCCCCCTTCCATCTGCCCAATGCCCAATAAATGTTATTCCTATATTTCCATTTAGGTGTTGATCAGTTAATACCAATTTGCTGGTGAGTACTTGTGGTGCTTATGTCCTCAGGTAGGTGGGAAGAGGTTTACCAAGGGTATGTGTAGGGTGGTAAAAGGATCCTCCAGGGCAAATGGAATGGGCAAGAAATATGTCTTACATATTGCTTTCCATAGAGGTTGAACTAGTTTGCAGTCCCACCAGCAGTGTAGGAGTGTTCCTCTCTCTCCGCATCCATGCCAGCATTTGTTATTTGGAGACTTTTTGATAAAGGCCTTAAAGCAATACAAGTGAATCTACCATTTGATCCAGCAATCCCATTGCTGGGCATCTACCCAAAAGATCCAATGACACTCTACAAAAAAGACACCTGCACTCGAATGTTTATAGCAGCACAATTCATAATTGCAAGGCTGTGGAAACAGCCCAAGTGCCCATCAAGCCAAGAATGGATTAATAAAATGTGGTATATGTATACCATGGAGTACTATTCAGCTCTAAGAAACAATGGTGATATAGCACATCTTATATTTTCCTGGTTAGAGCTGGAACCCATACTACTAAGTGAAGTATCCCAAGAATGGAAAAACAAGCACCAGATATATTCTCCAGCAAACTGGTATTAACTGAGTAGCACCTAAGTGGACACATAGGTACTACAGTAATAGGGTATTGGGCAGGTGGGAAGGGGGAGGGGTCGGGTATATATATGCATAATGAGTGAGATGTGCACCATCTGGGGGATGGTCATGCTGGAAACTCAGACTTGTGGGGGGAGGGGGGAAAGGGCATTTATTGAAACCTTAAAATCTGTACCCCCATAATATGCCGAAATAAAAAAAAAAAAAGAAAGAAAAGAAATATGTCTTACAGGGGAACTTTTAAGAACTTGGGCAGGATACCTTCTAACTCAATTAGATTTACCCCTGGGAATCACTGAGATATCACTGTACTAAAGGGCTAAAAGTTTCAATAGCATGTTACTTAGTATATCTTATATAGATTTCATAATGTCATAAGAAAAGAGTTGACATTTGGGAGCTAGCCAGAAAATGGAATTATTTTTCTTTTTGTTAGCTTCCTAGCTTCACCAGGTTTCTTGGAATTTTAATTAAGATTCCAGACATTTCAGCCATAATTTTCAGACAGCATTTGTTAAAAATATCAATCTATATACTTGGCTCAGTATAATCAAGTGTATTTCTTTTAAAAAATGTCTGTTTATTCCCAGTGGTTATGTTCTGTAAAACACAGACATGATCAATAATTATGGTAAAATAGTTTAATTTTGAATGTCATTGGCTCCACTGAATAATAAAGTTATTTAATTGTTGTGATTACTACCAAGGAAGATCCCCGCCCCCACCTTCCCTGATGTTTTCATTCTGTTGAACTTTTTAGAATGCATGCAAAAGATATGCTAGTTA